CCATGCCCGTCGGTGACACATGTTAGCACTCGAGCATGGATACGCAAGCCTAAGACCTTGCTAGTTGCAAATCCACGGACGCATGGACATGCAGAAGATCAAGCGGCTACAAGACTCCCGCGCCTTTTCTGGAGACTTCAAGCACAAGAGTCGTCAAATCAATCTTGCCAGACTGCAGTCTCTGGATCCACGGGGCAAAGGCCCGCGTCACCTCGTCCAGCACCGCCATGCGTGCCTGACAACGGGAACTACGATAATGCGGGAGCTGCTGGCCATGAACTTTCAGGAAACTAAGATTGGTGCATGGAAAGTTGATATCGGAAACGCAGGGACACGATGATGCTGCCTCGACGGAGGCCGTCTCATACGCTTTCAGCTGCCACTGGCTCCATCTCACCTCAGAGTACATTGTGCTTTATGGTTGGTTGGTCTTGCTCTGCGGCTGAAGGACGGGTATTTCCATGTGCGCAGCATGCTTCCTGCAGCTGTGTGTCCATAAACTTCAGGCGACGCAGCGTAGGTAGCTGCGTGTCACCTTGCCCAAGTCATGACCAAGTCACAGTTACTGACAGTTCTTTCAGTGGCCACTCAGATGCAACCAAGATGCAATTAAGTGGGGGCTGCTAGCTACTTCTAAGATTCTGTTCCACAAAGCGCACCAAAGTGCAGTCGAAGCGGAGCAACAAGCAACAGGCCTTCAGGGTGGTGTCCAGTCTCGTGCTCGAGCTCCTGCAATTGTGATTCTTGCGTTTTTTCCCATAGGTGCAGCCAAAACTCACTCGGCCGCATGCTGTCTGTCTCATATGAATCTATTCTGCAATTGTGGAGGGTCGATTGAAGGACCCATTATGTCGCGACAATCAGCTTGGTCGCCACTTTGATCAGCACGTATCCAAGAACAACGACCAGCAGGAATTCGTTCAAATCAATCGCAACAGATGAGGAAGAAGATGAACTTGAGCAGAAGGCAGGCTGCACAAAACAGGTAGAACCTGCTGAAACTATGCAGAATGACAGCATAAATCAAAAGTTATAAAAGTGTTAATGTTTCAATTGTATTGTTCGAGGCTTGCTCAGTGACGAAATCATTGCGGACACGGGAATGTTGCCTGGCTGCCCCAATATCTGGCCCACCTGAGTTTCCACCGACAGGGCTGATGAGCTCTCCCCAAAAGCTATCCAAAACATGAGATTGTTGCAGCTGCCTTGGAGCCTTGGAAGAACCCTTAAAGAACGCGATTAAAGAATGTGAACTAAAGAAAGCCTCCAGGACTTTACTGCGAACAGGCCAGCAGAACATTCTTACAACCCTTACTGCTGGACAAAAGCTCCCCAAGCACAGTTCGTGTAAGGTTCAGTAACTTCTGCTATAGGCTCTCCAAGCCACTGGTAGCCTCCAGCGCCACCCACCAGGGCGGCCAAGGCAAGACCCGGAACGACCAGCCTAACAAGCTAGGCTAGGGGCTAGAGGGCTTAGAGGGGTTTAGGGCTTAGAGGGTGTAGAGGGTTTAGATAGAGGGTTTACAGGGCTTAGAGGGTTTAGATGTTTGGGGTCCCTTTAATAGTCACGTACTCTGCAGTTGTGCTCAACAAATTGGCCACGCCGAGTCGCGGCGATGCCGCGACGCCCAAGGCGCCGCCCATGGCAGCTCCGACCTGCCGAAGGAGAACACATCGATCTAAGGGTTAATACGGGCCCTTCAAAGGGGACCCACTATGCTCCCTGAACCCTTTCAAGGGAGGCAAGGGACCATACTAAGGGCCCGTGAAACTGCCCTTGGAATTTAAGACGCCTTAAGTTGGGCTATGGGCTTACGTCTTCGAGTGCTGATACGCCGGCTCAACAGTCGGTCCTGAAGTTCTAATGTTCTGCGCCCAGGAATCCTTCAAAATTGGGAGAAAGGACGGCTTGAACAATTTGACTCCATCCGAAACTTGAAGCGTGAAAGGTATTGCTGCTACCGCCGTCGTCGGCCACTGAGCATGGGTATCCCGACTTCACCTTTCAGTTGGTGAGCTGGGTCGTCCATACAGTGACCGAGTAGTTTCAGGAGCCCACAACATGGATATACCCTAGACTCTAAACCCTAAACCCTACAAGCGCCGGGTTTATCTCGACCCACGCGGTGTAAAGTCGGCCCAACCCCAGCGGCACACAGCAAAACAAGGCAGAGGAAGGAAGTCACCCCAGGCGGTGTAAAGTCGGCCCAGCAACAGCGAAACCCCAGGGGCACATGGCTTTTGAGAGCTTTTGTGCCTTTTTACAAAAATGGCACCGGAGCTGTGCACAGTGGGTTGAGAAGCCTTAAAACATCATTGGTAAGCGGCTTTGAATTGCGAAACTGCAGGGGCACATGGTTTTTCGGATGGTTTTACGGCCATTGCAGGGTTGGCAAGCATGGGTTGGAAAGCATGGTTCTGCATGATTCTCGCCCCTGCTTATCAACTTTGACCCGATGGATTTCACCCCGGCTGATCAACTTTGATCCGAGGGACTTCCCCCCATTCGCCCCTGCTGAGCAACTTCGCATGCAGTGTGAAGGAAAATCCATTGTTTTGGGGAGGGGCATATGTGTGGCCCTGCGCGAGGGTCGCGCGACCTTGCGCGAGGCCCACGCGAGGTAAGGCAAGGCCCCACACAAGCCATCTGAGAACATAGCCCATGTGACATGGTATCGCGGTTGTTACAGCGTTCCCCGAGGGGCACACTGGGATTGGGACAACTTCCGCCTTGCGGGGAATGCTTGCAATGGTTTCATGCATCGGAGGCTTCGGGGTTACAGCACAAACAACGATCCGGAAATGTTCCAAAACTTTCCAAAACCATGTGCACAGCACTATAAGACCGAAAAACTCTGGGTCTGATGAAATATAAGATATGTTGGGGATATGGGAAAGTAAGCCCAAACCCTGCGGCACATAGGCTTGGCACGACTTCACCTCGGCAGGGTCGACTTAAACCTACCACTCGTAGACCCTAGACCCTAGACCCTAGACCCTAGACCCTGAACCTAAACCCTAAACCCTAGACCCTAGACCCTAGACTCTAGACCCTAGACCCTAAACCCTAAGCCCTAAACTTCCTAAACCCTAAACCGCCATTCCTTTCAACGGCTCTTCAGCGGGAGAGAGGAGCTGAGTCATCGACGGCACCGAGCTTCCAGCTCCTCCATGAGCTCCGCTCCTGGCACTGTCAATGCTCGTGACATGGAGCCACGAAGAATGCGAACAATCATGCTAATGCTTGTAATACTAAGAACAACCACAGTACCACGAATTAATACAACGACTACTGCAATAGCAATAATAAGAATAAGAGAAAAGAGTAAGAATTATCATCATAACAATAATCATACTAATCATAATAAGAATAATCGTAATAATAAGAATAATAATAATAATAATGGTAATAATAATAATAGTAATGTCTGCCTTCTTCGCATCTTGCAGCTGCCGACCTTAATGTACTCGGAGAAGTCAGTCTCGAACTTCTCTTCGATGGTGACTTGCTCCGGGGGGAACTTGCCTCAACACTGAATGAAAACATGGAGCCCCCGCAGCCGAGATGCATGTCGAACATCTCGAGCACGAAGGGTGTCGAGACGCTTGAGCTGGACTTTGACGCCGTTCGGCCTCCTCGAGAATCGTGGGCCCCGCCAAGACTGAAATCTAGCATGCTTAAGCGCTCTCAGCTCTCTCTAGCAGCTCCAGCAACAAGGCGCCGGGAAATCTGTACAGTGCCTGCATTACAGACTGTAGTCGTAACTAGCGATCATCAGTGGCCCAATTAATTAAGAAGCTAGTGTCGTGGTACTCAAAATGTGGACAATGCGAAATCGTGCACAAATGTGATATACTGATGCACTGCATCCACAACACACACACGCACACACACACACACACACACACACACACACACACACGATGAGAGCCCTTCGACAGCCCCCCAACCCCCACCCCCACATCTTCCCGTCCTTGCACCGACACTGCCGACACAGAACTGGGAGTGTTCGGGCATGTCCCAGCCCTCGAAGCACGAAGGGACGATCATCAAACTTGCTCAAGCCCTTCGCTGCGAGCCATGTTGGACATCGGGAACAGTGCGATCAGCAAGGCCATTGTACAGGTGCGACACATTATGAGTCATGGACAACTTGTACATCTGGATGAGCCCAAGCAGCTCAGATCCCTGTCTGATCACTGGGCCCTCCATGGCACTCTGGCAGCAACTTGACACTGCACTTTGCTATGCCATGCTGTGCTGCTGTAAGGGTGGACTGGGTTAGGGCGTGGCTTGTGGGTGTTTGGAATGGCTCGGCTGGGCCAGCCGTGCCCTCTTGGCTCTTGTCTCCTCAACTTGGTCAATACTGGGGCAACGAAGCTGGGAACCTCCTTCGGACTTGTGGAGTGTCACATTTGCTGGCTTTGTACTTTCTGAAGGTACACAAAAGAAGATGGTTGAGGACCAGATGCCCTTGAATTCGATACTACGAAGCTAAGCTCATGTCTGCTCAGCCGAGAAGCTGCGGTCAACTCAAAGTGACGGTAGACTACTTGCATTCCTAGTACGTACTAGTACTACTACGTGAACAAAGTGCAAGTGCTAGCATTGCTACTCGTACTCATACAAAAACTAGTACTGGTACGAATCCAAGTACGAATCCAAGTGACATTTCTTGCTACTCCTACGACAGCAACAGCGACTGTGAGTACGACGACGACTACTAGTATTACTCGCTGGCTGCGACTGCTCTTACGCGGCTTTGTTCTACATGCCCAATTCCCAGTTGCGGACCCTTTTCAACTTCTGGGTGCTTCCTCAGAGTTCGAATCACCTTCCCTCCTTCCATTTGTACGCCCTTCCGTCCTTTCTTCTTTACTTCCCGCTGTGCTTGGTCACGCCTTTTGCTAAGAGACACCCGAGTCTTCTTCCACCGTCAACTCAGCGTTCCCCGACTTGCGCCCCCCCCCCCCCCTGCCCGCGGCTCTGAGGCAGCAACGGGAAGGTTGCCGAGAAAAGAAGCGTCTGTCTGCTGGGCCGGATGTTCTGCACCTCAAGTTCCAACTTCGAAAAGTTGATGGTAATGGCGGTTGCTTGAGCGGCCCACGCTACGAGTAAGAATCATCTCGGTGCTGAGGCGAGGGCAATCGAGCGAACCTGTCCGACTGTCCGGCAGCTTTCAGCTAATGGCTCATAAGACACTTCTGAAGGGATCTGCTGCTTGCCAGGGTGCATCTCAAACCAAAAACAACAAGACATTCGCCGGCCTGGTATTCAAAGCCCATGTGGAACATGCGGTCAGCTTCATCCAAGACCTTTGCTTCGAGCTTCAAGAATGTGGCACATTGTGCGTGTGTGCGCGTGTGTATGTGTGTGTGTGTGTGCGCGCCGACATTGAAAGCCTCCAGATCTGTAGAAAGTACTGTAGGCGACAATTGGATCTAGCTCACCTAGTTGGAACCATTTATCTCAGTTTCATCACCGAACTGCAACGTTCCAGGAGCCAGGAGACGTGAAGTAGGGCCAAGGGCTTCATAGGGTTGCTGAGATGCCTCGCAGATGGTGACCAAGAACCGGGGCCCCAGCTACGTATGTACATCGCTGCAAGTTGCAGCCTTTCATCCTGACCAGTGGACAACTTCAATGCGTCTTAGTTTTCTGAGGGCACCATAGGAGTCAAGCAGCTCATCCAGTGACATCAGCATCTCCGATCCGGGGCTCAGGCTTAACAACATCAATTAGGCGGCCAGGATTGCAAATCGCAATTTCTGCTCCACCTCGTAGAGCCGACGACAAAGGGCAAAGGGCTCTACAGGGGGCGACAACAGGAATGCATTTAGTCTCGGGCGCCCACCCTTCCCCTGCACCCGACTGGCCAATTTAGGCCCTAAACACTAAACTCACTCACCATGTCAGTTCATTATTTTACTTCGAGCATGCCCACCCTACAGATTTGGAATTTTCTGGGGCTGGGCATTCCAGGAACACCCTGGGGTCGGGCATTCCAGGGACACTCCAGGGATACTCTGGGGTGGGAATACGGGTGACGGGCGAGGAGCAGACCGGGCGAGGAGAAGAGCTTAGCTTAAAATCTCACAACCCCGCACCGAGCATCCCTAAGCCCACAGGGCATCCAACTTCTGGAAGCCGCGGACTGGGGGCCCACACGCTTGACCTCCTTGAACTGCTCCAGCTTGCTCAATCCGCCAGCCAGCGTCACGCTCCGCATGCCTGATGTGTTCAGGGATTCACGTTTGGCCTCCTTTGAAGTGCTTGGGTGTCTTTTGGAGAACTGGCCGTGGGCCCACGGGCGCGGATGCGATGAACCCTGTGAGCCCCACCCAGCTGCTTGTTGAACTTGAAGGTCTCGGTCTCGATCTGCACCTTCGTGACTTCGTGGGATGAACCATTCCAGGTCCAGGTTCTCAGCTAGCCAAAGCCTAGCCGTCACATCAGGAATCTTATGTTCGCATGTGTCTTGGATCCGGGCTGCAAGCTCTCTCGTTGGACAGAGAACGATGCCTGTTGGGGTGATGCGGGACTCAGGTGGTGCGCTTCAGCGTTAAGCTACGAATGGCAAGCCGAGAGACGGCTCTGCTCTCATGAACCTGCAAACTTTATGAATGCCGTGGGGCCTATTGGCCCGTCGTCCTTCTGCAGCTCTGGCCTGTATTGGCCACATTGAGATTATGGCAGTCGTATTGTTGTTCTGGCAGGCTTTGGAACATGCCTACGAAGACTTATGACAACTCAAGTTCCACACTGCCCACCACCCGCGGCTGGAACTGAGCCAGGTGCTGGGCGATGGCATGCACGAGCCTTGCTCAGAAACAGGGAAACAAGTTGAAGTTTGAAGTTCAGACTGTCCAGCACCCACATGTCTCACCCCAAGCCACCCTCAGCAAGTCCAAAAGTGAGCTGTGGTGTTCCGGGCAGGCTTTGGGGATTCTCGGCAAATGGTGTTTACAGGCCAGGATTTTGGGACACACATGCCTTGTGGGGCGTTCCCTGCATCGTTCTCCCATATGTATCGTGACCTGTCCTTCTTCAGGATGGCCCCGCGCAGCGCAGGCATGTCAAGAGGCTACATCATCCCCAGGCTAGCTGCTGGGTGTTTAGGCAGGAGTTGTGCCGGAAATAAAACAATCGCTCCCAAACCTTCCATTTGCCTCCGCCTCGTCGCTGGACGCTTAAGATCGTCCAAGAAGCATGGGCAGCAGGTAGGCGACCGTCTTGCCACTGCCTGTCTCGGCCTCAGTGTGTAAAGAGCCAGCTTCAAGCGAGATGATTTGCCAAAGATGTCAGCTTCAGGCAATGAGGATTGGGGGGGGGGGAGGGGTTCTACATCATGGTTCTGTAAGGTAGAACTTCCCCAATGCAAAGCCGTCATCGACTTTCCCGCGCAGCTTTGAGTATATCTTGCGCGTTTGGAGATCTTCTTCGGATTGTGAGGAGCAAGGTCAACCAGCCTTTGGTTCCTCTCCAGAACCGGCTCGAGTGGAAAAGCCCGTCGGATGTCGCGGAGGTAGCGGAACGGCCACTTGTTGGCGAATCCTGTGCTGCACTACAACGTGGCTGCCGGCAAGTTCCCGTGCTGGACGGCGCGTCCTGTGAGCTGACTCCTGGCCTCAAGACTTCCGCTCGATCCAGGAGGTATAGACATGTATGGATCCCATCCCCCATCTGTACATGCAAGCCCCGGCTTACTAGGTGTGGAAAGCACCTCCGCTTCACCTCCTTCCTTTGCTGCGATTTGCAGCGAAGGGTGGCAAGGGCGTCAGGGGGGGTCACCTGTCCAAGGAACCGCGAGTTCCCGGGGCAACCGACAATTGAGTGCGGGAAGGCCACAGGCGGCCGCCAACTGTCATGGCACGTGCACATGCATGGTTTCTTGACAGGCTCACAAACAAACTCTCGAGCTTGCGAGCAGTCGTGCAGTTGAGTGGCTGAACTCTCCCGTGATACATACAAGTCAGTCCACAAAATATTTTGCAAAGGATCTCTGAGATTCTTCCAATCTGAGCTTTCCACTACGCCGATGACATCTCGACCTGACCAGGTTCTTGAAACCAAGGCCGCGAGACTTAGGCAGCGTTGTCCACTGACAAAAGCTTGCGCCGCCAACTTACTCTTTGCTCGATGTCTGCCAGGCTACATGCACTCACATCGTTTTCGCCCAAGGCTTGGTGCCCTACCAGACAGGGCAACGGGGATTGCCTGCGCCTGCAAAACATGCCACATCAACATGACCCACAACAAGGCAGCGTCACACAAGATAAACGAGGCTTGAGATTTGCTTGCCACCCCACTCACCCCTTCTGAACATGGTGCTGCTCTTAGAAACGGAGTGCCTACGGGTCAGCGCACTTAGGCCTGGCAAAGGCTGGCCTATCTGCTGCAGACTTCTCAAGTGATGTGAGCCTGGATGGCGGTAGGCTGCTGGTAGCCGTGGCGTCGGATTCCCTGTGGGCAGGCGTTTCGCAAATGCTGTGACATCACGACTCAGCTGAGCAGGGCTGGATTCGCCTGCAAACTGGCATCGTGAACTGTGCAACCAAGGCCCCAAGCCTCCATTATCTCTCGGCCCAGCACATGGGCAAGGTGGGCGAAGGACGTCACCGGAGCTACGATCTGTGAGCCAGTGGCACCTGCAGTCGGCAGGCTCTTTTGCAGGACACGTTCAAGTCTTCGATCTTACTCAAACGTCGCCGAGGCCCCCACTCACTCGCAAATCGAGCCGAACTTGCGCAATCTGCCATTGAGCTCAAATGCGTGTCTTATGCATGGCGGGGCGGGGTCTTTGTCTCTGCCCGAGCTATCGGACACAACAACTCGAGCGAATGCTGAAGCCCAACGCTCAACTCATCTTCACCGGCCTGCTCGTTCGTCATCTTGGCTACTTCTTCGTGGGGCTTGTAGAAGTTTGTCTGAACCTTCGCAGTTGTGATGGAACTGAGTTGTTCTGGAAGCCCCTGGAAGCAGATCCTGAGCTTCCCGGCTGGGTTGTACCGCATCTGCGAGTGATCCACCTCGCAAAGTGAACCAAAGGTGGGCAATGCTTGTCCTCTGAACAACTGAGCAGGCCCTTGTACTGCCATCTCATGTTGCAAGACAACTTGAGGTCTCCGTTTGTACAATCGCTGGCATTGTCTGCGCCCTAACTACTGGGGAGGACCGCGGATGGGAAACTCATTCGAAAAAAGAGTTGTTTGGCTGCCGCTAAACGAGGAGACCAAAAACATATGACCGTCAGAGGTCCACATTTTTGTGGGCTGGGACGTCGGCGTGGTTCAAGAACAGTGGCCCAAAATGAACGAAGGCCAAGATTGCCCCAAACCCGAACTGGCAATGCCACTTGAATCTAATCGGTACGGGACTGACACTCTCCCATACATTTTCGTGGCTTGGGCTGGGCCTGAGGGAGAAAGAGAGAAGGAGAGAGAGAGAGAGAGAGCGAAACAAAAAGATGAACATGCATGTCCCAGGCGCCGCAGGCAGTGGCTCGATGGGCTTGTTCCGTCGGTCGCCATCCTGCCAAAATCTTCAAATTGTCAAAGTTCCGGTTTCTTCCAAGCAGTCCCCAAAACCCTCAAAATTCATGAGTGACTGCACTTGCAAGAGTGAGGATTTCACTGCAGATTTCTTACCACTTCACAAATCCGCCTCTGAGACGACATCATTAGACCGCAACTTGCTTTGGATATCGTGAGCCCCAGCTGCCTCCTCGCCCTCATCTTGCCCAAGCTCGGCAGCTTCAGGCTCTGCCTGCATCGCATTCGGAACTCGGTGCTCCAATCTGGCAGATTCTTGTACTAAAACCAGATGCCGAAATGAGAAGGAGCGCCGCTCGGTTCACTTTCCACACCTTCTCGTAAGATTCGAAGTAGGATGCCACGAAATCCTGCCAAGCGCTCAGTATGTCTGCCCACACGATGGGCGGTGCACCCTTATCCCTAACAGGCCTAACACATCCGACAAGCCCCTTGTAAAGTGCTCAGGCCTTTTTTTGAGCTGACTGAATTGGAACGTCCGAAGGTCGCGCAACGGGTGGGGCTATACAGGAGCCACTGGCATCTTGAGGAGAGCACCTCGACACTCGTGGACACATCCCCAATCCCATCTCCGCATCCCTTCTGACGGCTGTACTTCTCTCCACACTTCAAAGTTGAGCCTCTTAGGCTCAAGGTGGAGTTGGACAACATTTTTCGGCTCTTGCCGTTTCAATGAACTCCCTTTCAGGGCCGACAGCTTTTCAAAAGAGGTTCACTGACCGTCAAGCCCAGGAAACAGAGGCGGCCCGCAGGATGTCCACCAAGATACCCGGAGACTCTCTAACACCTGCTGTTTTTGGGGCATGTTATTTGGATCTGGGTGCCCTTTCTCTGGGAATCATGATTAGGCTGCCGATCAAAGATTCCTTGTGCGTTTTTTTGGTAAGGCTTGCGTTCCATGATGTTGCCTTTGACTCGCATGCAGTGCACGATCTCTGCAACAACAAGTTGGCGGTCTCGGATGGCTGTGGACAAGGAACTTTACCCTGTTGGGCACATCGTTCCTACCGAACCAGTTTAAGTAACGCTAAAGGATGTGGTGGACTCCTGCAGCCCTCACTTCAGCCAAAGCCCGCGGCGAAACCCTGCAGCTCCCCACTTCTTTCAGCATGTTTGCTGCAGCTGAAATTTGGTATGATGCCACGGGTTTTCAGAGGGCCTTGCCGCGGGCCAATGAAATCTCTGAACTTGAAACCAGGCCTACCATCTGGCCAGGAATGAAAGCTGAACTCAGACATTAACACCGGCCAATCCCTTGATTGACTTGCTCTTGCAGCTGCAGCTACGTGTGTGGAGCCTTGCGCGGGGGGCGGCGGGGAGGGCGGGGGGGTACGCGGGAGGGGGGTAGTCGGGGACGTGAGTGAGGGGGAGGACGTGGTGGGGGGGATGGGGGGGGATGTGGGGGGGAATGTGGGGGGAATATGGGGGGGAATGTGGGGGGGAATGTGGGGGGGAATGTGGGGGGGAGTGTGGGGGGGGGAGTGTGGGTGGGGAATGTGGGGGGGGGACGTGGGGACCTGGGGGGGACATGGGGGGACGTGGGGAGGATGTCGGGGGAAAGGGGGGCAGGGGGGCGGTATTGAATCTTCAGCACTTCATGCATGTCTCTGGTGCAGGCGTGCAAATGCTCGGGCTTTTATGATGGTGTTCTCAAAACAGGAAGTACTAAAGGGAGCTGCCTGTGCTTCTTGTGCTGCCGGTGCATATGGACTTCGCAGCTAGGGTGTGGTCGTGCGTCTCAGCGTGCGGTTATCTTTCTGCCCACTTAGCACTGCAAGGGTTCCTTGCAGTGGGACAGCTGTAAGTACATTTCATCTCACCACATGTGTGGTACGCAAATTCCAGGTTCTAGACGGTACAGGTAGATTCCTTGCCAGAGTACCAGCCTGTGGAGCGCACTGCTCGGAACTGGGAGCTCTTTTGACCACTGCCGCAACTCTTCAACACCAGGGAATGCTAGGAGTGGCAACCTGCACCACAGCGGTTGCATGCGCTTGCTTAAGAACCTGCTGGGTTGCTGCGATACAACCTGATGATCTCCTGATACGGTGACGTGCAGGGCTTCTTCGTGATGCAATGAGAGACACAGGTCTGTCGATTCCCATGAACTGGTGCAAGAGAGCGAGCCCGCCTCAGAGCCTACGAGGCTTCGACAGGATCTTGGACACCAGTGCGGGCAAATCTCGGGGATGATACTCCTGGGCCAGCAACAGCTTGAAACGCAGCAGGATGTAAACTCATCTACACTTCTGGATAAGAGCACCATTCAACTCTCAGGGAGTTTGACGCTGCAGTCCCAAGCTTTGGTCTTCTGGCTAGACGGACACGCGCGGACTTCAACCCGACTAAGCCCTGAAGCCTCCAAGAATCTGAACGCCCAAGGCGCTGGGGGGCGCTGATGCCCAAGACTTTGGTCGCAGGCGAGCACGGCGCGGACCCAGCGTTCCTGGGGAAAAAGAAATCTCAAGAGGTCCCAGCATCTACGTACCACGAATGTAAACAGCAAACAATAAGCAGGTAAGAAGCAAAAGAATGGTAGGACAAAAGAATACTGTTGTCATCACATGTGGTTGCTACAATTAAGAGCTATGTTATGCTACTTCTTCATGATTATGCTATGCTGTGGTGCCATGCGCGCGCTACTTTCGAGGCTGTGTCGCCATTGCACCAGCACTGGAGTGACTGGCTCTCTAAAGCAAATCCTGGTGACTCTAATCGTTGCTACACGCAGAATAATTGAGCTAAGTTGTAATCATCATCATGACTACCCTGATTGTAGCTCGCGAAACATGATGTGTCGGACCTTCATGCGGCTTGGCTTCTTCAGGTTGACTGTGCCAGGAATTCAAACAAAAGAGTTGAGGGGTCGACATGAAGCTAGCGCAGTGTGTAGCGACTGTTGGGACTCAAAAGCACTCTCGATGTCACGCCCACCCCGGAACAGGATCCCACATTTAGTAACTATCAGTAAGCAACTTCGTAGCTGTACCTTCGATGTGTTGAAGCAACAGGTCTTGAAGGCAGCGCATGGAGGGTTGTGGAGCCTTCCCTCTTGCATCTCAACCCCAAACCCTAAACCCGAAACCCTAAACCCCAAACCCCAAACCCTAACCCCGAAACCCTAAACCCTAGTTGAAGGCCAGAGCCATGCGCATTCGGGCTCCACATCAGAAAACACAATGGCTTGCGTGGGCATCGTGGGCCCGAAGCCTAAACATAAGACATGACAACATCTGGTCGACATCATACTCTAAAAGATGTGTATACACACACACATACATATATATATATATATGTATATATACATAATATGACACAAAAACACTTGCTGCAGCCACGGCGGCCGGCATTCCCCGCACGCCATCCCGGGCACCGAGCAGCGATCCGATAACACAGGCGGTGGTGCCTCACAGAGTTTTGCTAGGATTCAATATGGGATCTGAGGTTTCAAGGTTCGAAGGCTCATACCGTGCATCGCCAGCGTGAAGGTCGCGTTACAAGGTGATCTGATGGTTTATGTCGACTCCAGGGTCGTGGCCGGAGTCTCCACCGGCGGCAAGGGTGGCCCGCATGGCGTCCTACGCACATGGCCCATGGACAAAATTGAACAAGTGCCGTGCGGGATTGATTGTTGTCGATGTCTGACCAATCTTTCATCGAGCTCGCCTAGTGCTCCGAGCTTAAGTTTCTGGTGGCAGTTGATGCCGCGGACGGTACACGATGAACGAGCTGGACAGGTGCCGCGCTGTATTCTTTTTGTGAAGTCGATGCAGCAAACCTGTGCTGCGGATGTCCTCGAAGGAGGTTCCATTGTGGAGGTGCCTTACGGCGTGGCAAAACCTTGGGCACAGCGCATGGCAACCATCAATCTTGGGACTTGCAGGCAAAACAGGCCAGTGCAACGCACACAACGTCAAAACGTCCCACCAAGATCTTCTCATCCTCTACAAGGCCCTGGCGGGATCTCGGCAGAGCCCACCTCCTTGGAAAGCAGCGACGTCGCCTCAGGGGATTAAAAAAAGCTTTAAGCCGAAAGAGCCTTCAGGAAAGAACCTAATATACAGACTTTATGTGCGAGCTTCTGCGAGTTTTAAGGGTTCAGCGCTCTAAAAGCCTTGACACTCCAAGCCAGCGCTAAGCCCGCCACAGACATGTCTGAGAAGGGCAGGGGCCTTGGGCGCATGGCGCAGGTCCCATCAAGGGCACGGGAATCGATTCACTCTCCAATGCTACTTTCATGTTTGAATGTTTTCAAAAAGGTTCATGGTCGGATACATTCCCAGGACACCCAACAATTGTTTTGAGGCAGGCAAAATAGCAAACAATTGTTTGACAATTGTTTAGTAATTTCCAACAATGGCAAACAATTGTTTAACAATTTAAACAATTGTTTGGCAATTTCCGAAAATGGCAAACAATTGTTTAACAATTGTTTAGTAATTTTCAAAAATGACAAACAATTGTTAACACTTGTTCTATTGCCAAACAATTGTTGAGCAATTGTTTAGATTAACAAACTATTGCCAAACAAGTGTTGAGCAATTGTTTATATTAGCAAACTATTGCCAAGCAATTGTTTATATTAACAAACTATTGCCAAACAATTGTTGAACAAATGTTTATATTAACAAACTATTGCCAAACAATTGTCAAACAATTATCGAAAAATATTGCAACACAGAAACTATTGCCAAACTATTTCAATGTATTGCCAAAAACTATTGTCACATTTTTCTATGCGTGTACCCAGAACCTCTTCTGAAAACATACAACTTTCATGTGGTTTCCTCATGTGTACCCATTTTTGCGAGCCCAGCGGCTCGCTGCCTAGAGCTTTGCGGACCCAGCGGAGAACCTGGGCAAGCTGAGGTCAGGGGCGAATGCGGGATCTCCTTGGGTGATGCAACCCCTGCGGCCCTTACGCCCTACCCCATCCTGCGCTTGTACCATCCCTGCCTCTTCGCAGGCAACGAGCTCTTCGCCTGAAGCGGCTTCAGGTAGTGCCCTTGTAGCACATCCCTAAGATCTTGACTCCATTGATTTTCAACAGGGATGCCGGGATGCCTGTTTCGTGGATAAGGCCGGGTTGAGGAAGATCTCAAAAGCACCGTGAGCACCTAGGGGCCCCTGCCTGGTGGGGACCAAGCCTCCACATCCTGGCCCTTGGCCAGGTGAGTGAAGCCTCTGCAAGCAGCGTCTCTCTAGGAAGCGGCCGAGAAGCCTCCCTTAATTGAAATGGCAGGTGGACCTTGGCCACGCGGCCCATCGCCAGGCTTGGGAATCCCCGTGCGAATGCGCTCTTGTTGCCTCCAAGCTTGGTGGTTCCGGAAAACTCTGCGCTTAACGGCTCAAGAGCACAAAAATCTCTCTCTGTCGCGCCAAATTTATCAGGCCTCTTCAACCACCGCTCCAGTTCTGCCACGGCCGCGCTCCCGCTAGTTCCACCAATCAGCAGCGCGATGACGAAAGCGAACGCAGAGTTGGCATGCGCGATGACACCTAACTAAATGTCGCAGGAGCTTCAACATGTTTGTCGAAAGTACCGAGTACCTCCTCGCCATTCCTCTCCTGAACCTGCAATAACATCTGCAAACCGAAGAAACTTCTGAAGCTCACGACAGCCCTGAAGGAGCCAAGCTAGCAATATTGGAGCAGCTTGTCACCCAGATCTCCAGCTCGGGCACCGTCGCTAGGCCACCAACCCTTGCCGAAGCCTACCGGAGCCCCAGTACTGGGCTGGCCTCACCCCAACAGCTGAAAGCTCCAACGACAAAGGACTTAAAGCGTGAAGCCGCGGAACGGCTCGGGTGGGATAGGCGCGCATCGTCATTGGCAAGCTCCGCAGCCTGACATGAGTTTTCATGTCAGGTGATTAAGCATCATGAGGTCAGAACTGCAAGACGCTCCAGCCCCCATCCTATCCGCACGGGCCTTCTCCGGTGACTTCAGCGCTGCGCCCATCACGGCCACAGCGGCACACCTGGGAACAGAGCAAAGGCCTTGGAAGGGTCACCCGAAGATTCTTCCGAAGCCATCCTAAGCCATCCGAAGTCGAAAGCAACCTTAAGCCTTCCTGCAAGCATCCGCAAGCCCTGAGCCGAGCCTGACCAGCGTTCCACTGCTGAGGGACTTCTGATTCACCTATGAGAGGCTCACAGCAGGTCTCAGGTTTCCGGAATCTTAGGGTTCTCGGATTTGGAGTTGAAGGCTTGAGCGGAGGGTGCTCAAGAGCAATCAAACGCCTCCTGCTATGAGATGGGGAGTCAAGGCCTGATGCTGGACGGGCCTCTCCTGTGCGCGGCCCAATTTTGAGCACCCATTTTGGGCCCGAACCAAAGGAAGCAAGAGAGGCTTCGGGGGCCTCCTGAGACCTTGTAGCCAAGGGCCCTTGTGATGTCTAAAAGGTATTTCCGGGGCAGCGAACTCCAAAACAAAAGCAAAATAGGGCCCCAGGGAGAATTGCAAAACAAGCTTTGAAGGGACCAACCGGTGCAAATACTATACCAGTGGTCATGCGAGGCGGGCTAGCGTCTTGGCTCTATTCGCGTACATCAAGGTCGGCGACCCAGCCACAACACTTAGAGCTTCGAGTAACTTTAGGCGGCTTCCAGCCTCCCGAGCGCGCTCCGCCATGGCATCGGGCGGCATCGGACGGTGGAAGACCTCTCGTGCGGAGCCGTGGAGCCCAAGGCTTCCCAGCAACTGCCATGATGCTTCGTTTGTCACTTTTTGTGTTCCTATGCCGTAAAACTCTCTCAAGCCTGCAGGCAGGCGCGGTCGGCCCGGAAGGGGTGTGTCTTGCCCCAGCGGCCGTAACGAACGGCCACATCCTCTCTTGTTGGCGCACGAAAGCACATGTACTGGCTCCCGCTGCCAACAACCCGAAGCTTAGCAGTCTTTGTCAGACTTCTCCGCGCTCTACATATGAAGCAACCTCAAGCAGCCCTGTGGAAGTTCGAAGCAGCATTCACAACGCAACTTTCCAGGCGATCCTCAGTCGGAAACACGGAACCCTCCGCTTCAGCCAGTGCCTGCCAGTTTTCGAGTGGGGATTTGGGCTGAAGGGCAGAGGGGGCTTTGTAACGATTGGGAATGTATTTGCTGCATGGATGGCAGGAGACAGAGTCTGGACCCAGCAAAATGGTCGAGCGCGGAGCTTATGTTACCAGTGGTGGAGTCGAGTTGTCAAAATCACTCTGTCACAGCAAGCCCGAGAACCGCGTTAATCACTGGCAGCGGGCCTCTGCCAAGCACAGCAACAACTCTGTGTGCCCAGTGACCTCCAAACGGGCAGCACTGACGCAAGCGGACCATATGTGCTTAGATGTCCCTCGACTGGCTTGCATCCTGCCCATCCATGACTTCGGCAACAGCAATGAAGGGAAAGATAGACACTGAGCAGACCATCGGAATGACGGCGTTGACTCCCTTCTGCATGACACCTGCCCGGGCGCAACTGTCCACAGACCGCCGCCGCACATCTCCAAAGCCTTGCGGATGTTGGGGAGTTCAATTCTGTGATGCATCATGGAGTGCTTCTACTCTTATCATCCGAAGCTCTTGGATGCCTAAAGTAAGAGCCTTGTCCACCTCGAAAGCATTCACCGCCAGCGGTTCCTGCAGCACTCGAGATGCAGGAGGCTCAAGGCCAAGAAGTGTGGTTTCTTCGCAACTCGCTGTCGGGCCGGCCTGGCCCCCCAGCGGTGCGCCAAGAGCATCGCCAGCAGCAGCTCCCAGGCATGCACCAAGCGCGGCGGCGGCGGTGCCCTCGGCTGGGAGCCTTGGATGTACAGGAAGCCGACTGGACCCTTCTACTATCGCATGTCATGAGCTTGGCAGGAGGCTCGCTCAGAATGGAGTGCCCACGACCAGCCCACCACACCATGGCCCACACCTCAGATCATGAAGCTTGGCAGTTGTTATGGTGCCCGCCATGACTTGGTCAGTTTCCATGCGGCAGCAATCTTACCAAACACAGAGAATGCACTATGATGCCCTAATATATTGACCGCGAATGGGGGATACAGCCAGACTTTCATGTACGTCATCTTTCATGCCCTGTAGCACAGTTTGCCGACAGTATCTGAGCTCTTGCCAAGGCACTCGTTCGAGAACGTCCACGTTGGGCCGACCAAGCTGCAGCACTTCCTGACAGCAGGCTCAGGTAGTTGCAAGATGTTGCAATTTCAGGGTTTCCATATCCAAGCTGAGGCGGACGAGAACGGTGGCGTGCCTCCCCAGCCGGGGTGGAGCTGCGCTCGAAGCCAGCTAAACGCAGCAGCTCGAGAGCAGGCATGACCTTCCCACTGCACTTTAGTCTTGAGAGACCTCGTAGGAGTGAAGAAACACAGCACATGCCCAGGAAGATTCCGCACAAGGCATGGATTCCCTAGATCCAATGATGGCCCTTCGAAGTCCCTTCCACGTGGTATCCAGATTTCGAACCTTACGCTGGTGCTGTGCCATACGGTTTTGCATCTTTTCCTGCGTATTTGTATTGTATTTGTCTTGGCTTTGCTTTGCTAAATTGGTGCCCGTGGGTTTTCAGAGTCCGTCAATGTCCGGGCAGAGTAAGCAAGGAATATACGTTATGCTCCTGTGGCTCATTTTAATTTAGTTCTAGCCGAGCAGAAAATGCATGCGCAGCAACGTTTCTTGTACAGCTATTGACGTGGCAACCGACCATCCTCCCAGAGCTCAATGCGATTTTTGAGTGAGAATCACCCAGACGGCCTTCTGGCCAGAGGCTTTGTTCAGGTTGATGCACCTGTATGACATGCTCATTCATCCAAACCTTCAGAACTGCACCCGGGGCCAACAAAGTCTTGTGAAAGAGCTCGCCTGTACTTGTCGCTGTTTGGATACCGCCGGACGTTGTCCAGTATCCGTTCCTCAGCAATTTAGCTACAACCTGTTTCAACGCTGGCGTCCATTATTCAGCACACACAAGCTGAAACATCGAAGAGCATGTTGCCACAGCACAGGAATTCTGTGTGCTGTGAAGGCTGTTCTGGTCTGGCAGTGCAAGAAGCACTGAAAAGCATGACGATAAAACCAGATAAATCCAGTTCCACGCCCACGCGTAAACAACACTCGAATCTTCAAGACCCGGCGCGGACCCAAAACACTGAAAGACTCAAGGCCCAGGCCAAAAGTTTGAGAACTTCTTCACCGCCTGAGGGGCCACAGAAAGAGCACTTGAGATTCTGAGGAAAGGAGCCGCTGGGGACTCTTTCTGTTTTAGGGCTTCGGGAGGTTCAGGGTCTGGACTTTTGGACGTAAGGTCTGGAATAGGAGGCCTAGGCCAACGTGCGCATACGAGCGAAGAGCGGCCTTCGCTTTGTGCCACGCTTGCCAGCACATCATAGGCCTCTGAAGCAAATGCAGCTTTCACAGCTTTCACAGCTTTCACAACTTTCACAGCTTTCACAGCTTGCACCAAAGCGGGCTGCAGGCATAATACGAATCTCGAAAGTCATGCGAAGTCCAGCGTGAAGTGCGAGCCTGAACTCCTCCAGTGCCACGCAGGGCTGCAGCATAGCCTGGCAGAAAGTGGCGAGTGCTTAGGGGGTTTTGCGCGGAGAAAGCCTTGCCAACTGCCAAATACTGTGTCGGGCAAGCGTTCTAGCTCAGCTGCGTGTGTGAATGCAGGCAAATGCTTCGGCATTGACTACTCGCAAACACTTGCTTCCAGCTGTCAGAATCATTGCCAACCACCGACAACCCGCTAGGATGTGTGTGTGTGTGTGTGTGCCCGGTGTGGTCGCGTGTGGGCAACCAAAAAGGCCCTCAACCCTGACCAGCCTTGACCACCCCCACAGTGCTGACGCACAGCAGCCAGCGCCATCGCAGCTGCGGGTGCCTCACCTCAACTGCTTCTCAGCTTCCAAGCACTTCGAGCAGCAGGTGCTAAAGTTGCTAGATACCCCAAGAACTGCCAAGACTGCCAGGCTTCTAAGGCTGCAAATATGGCAAATTGACAGGGTGCCTGGGGGCAGCTCGAGGAAGCCATCGGGCGACTGGCGGAAGCCAATGGAGTTGAGCCTGTTTCTCCAAGAAGGGCAAACTCTCGTGTTCTTTGCAACCTTCATGATCCTTCATGAGCCTGGATGTTTTTCTCCTGCCAAGTCCCGGGCAGCTCGAAAGCTCCCCCATAGCACAGCAGCTCGTTCTTCAGCTTGTCGCTGTTCGGATTCCTCCCAGGCACTTCTGTCAGAGGATGCGGCCCTGGCCTTCGAAACCGCTACATGTGAGATCTGCTGAGCGAACTCTTATTTTTGGCCAAGGCGCAACCGCCGAAACTTGATCTCCTTCGGGTTGTCCTTGTAAGCGTACGCGCGAGGTCCCTTGTGCATCTGCATCGCAAGAGCAAAGTCCCACTTCCTTCATCCCCCCTCCCCCATTCCTCCCTCCCCATCCCCATCCCCCCCCCCCCACCCCGGTATATGGCAGGGAGAACCCTCCCGGCACGACTCTACACCTGCCGATTTCTCGGGAGTCAGCCCACCGGAGAAGTCAAATGCGCACCAAAAGAGATTCCATGGAGATCGTTTTCGGGGAGCCCAAACATGTCAAATCATCAGAGTGGCCATGCCGCATAGAATTGAAAAAGGCTTGGTCTGGCCCTGGCTCTCACAAACATCGCAGATCTATAGCCAGAGCTGCAAATTCAAAACTGGAGGCGTAATGTCGCGTGAAGTCCGAAGGGCGAGAAGGTTTCCCAGAATCCGAGCCAGCAATGCCAAGACCTCAGCTTGAAAACAGGCTGCAAAAAAATGGCAATTTGGAGATGCCGACTTTGCCGAATCCTGATCCAAGGGGCAATGCTTTCCTGCGCCCCGGCGGCCGCACACAATGCTGACAGCTGCGACTGCCAAGTTTGAATCTTGAAGCTACACGCTCAGGGACGTCAGGCATGGAGCAGAGTTGAGAGGCCCGATAGGCTATTTCACTGCTGCTTCACACTGCTTCTGTTAGCATATGGCTTGGTGTGCAAAACAATGTTCGACGAATGTCAAGAGTAGGTTCGGGGAGCCTTACTTGTTCTCAAGAACTCTCGGACCTCCACGCCCACGGCCATGGCGATCGGCAGCTTGGCAAGTTGCTTCTTGCAGCACAAAGTTCTTCCGAGATGCCCAACTGCTTGCGAATGCTCTTCACATGATGCAAATTCTTCTCGTCTGGCTCCATAAGTTTGCACGCATACCTCTAGCTACTTGCTCGAGCGAAACGCTGGCAGGCAATGGCAGCAGGAACAAGTTGCACCTCCTGCAAGCGTATCTCCCTGGACTGGAAACGACGAGGACCCTTGCACCAGCCACCATCAGCCACCGATGCCAGCTCGGCAACTGTCCTGGTCTCCGTCTCCCTCCCACATCGCTTGCGCCTGCAGTCAGTGGGCAACCTGAAGCCCGACACGACATGAGCACATGCAAGCATCCATGCAATAGCTGGCTCCGAACATCGGATGCTCCATGAAAGGAAGTTCGGATCTTGCACAAGTCTGCCGTGACTGGGCGACGATGCAGACAACAAGTGCAAGAATAATGCGGACCTTCTGCATTTTGGCTTCGAAGCCGTCCGAACCTGTCCATCTCCAGAAGAATCAAAAGGTGAATGGCTCTTATCGTTTCTCTATTCCAAAGTCCATGCTGCCGTGTGCTGCACCGATACAGAAACAAACGATCAGAGGCTCGGCTGCCCAGTGTGGATATCGACAAGAGGTAGAACTCAATTTCTGGGGTCGTGCTTAGACCCTCGCCTGCTCCAGTTTTGGCAATTTCGGAGTTGATCTCTGCCTAAACATGCTGCAAGGCAAAATTCAACTACACTGCGGACAGGTCCATATACATACACACCATATACATAACTGTATGTATATATATATATACACATGTATGGAGAGAGAGAAAGAGAAAGAGAAAGAGAAAGAGAAAGAGAAAGAGAAAGAGAAACAGAAAGAGAAAGAGAAAGAGACAGAGACAGAGACAGAGAAAGAGAAAGAGAAAGAGAAAGAGAAAGAGAAAGAGAAAGAGAAAGAGAAAGAGAAAGAGAGAAAGAGAGAAAGCTAGACGCGTTGCAGGCCCGTGTTTTACGTGCGTTCTGCTGTTTTCTATGGTTTTCTCGTTACATAGTTGTGACTCGATACATCGTTCCAGTGAATCGTTTTGCGAAAGAAAAGGTTTCTTAGGGCGTATCTTGTCTGAAAAGGCAGACACCAGGTCCAGGGAGAATAATGTAAACATCATACACAAAAAAACCTCTCTCGGGAACTGCTTGCATGCGGACTACACAAGACTACCTCGACAGGGAGACCCAAGAACGGCAATACTGTGAGCAGACAGCAAGTGCTTTCCATTTCAAGAATGCTGGGGACCGGCAATTTTGAAAACTCCATCTACGATGTTGTATTTTCAATTTATTTTACTCTATACTTTGCTCTAGAACAGTGCTTTATCCAGTACCCCGCAGCCCGAAACTGCTATTGCTATTGGGAGAAAAGGGGGGTGGGGGGAGAGGGCTCAGGGTCCCAATGCCATAGGCCATATCAAGGATAGAGATTGGACTGGGCATGTTACGGTTTGTGGAGGCTGGGGGCTACAGGTGCCGGGAGAATCTGGGGGCCGGGGGGGGATTAAGAAACACATTTAGACCTCCACATCCCTGAAAATCCCATACGACGCCTTGCAACTCTATCACCACCTCAAAGCATTGTCAAATCGTCACGGTGCCCTCATAGCATCACAGCAAAACCCTACACGAAAAGCGCACACAGAACTCTGCAGAATCCCATAGCCTTTTGTGCATGGTGCCCAGGCTCCGTACCATAAATGCATCGAGCGGGTCCTCCTTGCAAGCACTTACAGCCAAAACACTGACAAAATTGCACGCTCAGGCAATCGAATTTTGCAGGTCTCAGGCAACCGATTCTGCAGGTTTCGATGTTGCTCATCACATCTCCTCGCCGTTCGCTGCTGGTTGCTGCCTCGATCGCGAAGGCAGCATGAGAAAGGTCGCCCTCGTGACGTGCTCTTGCTCGTGTAGCTGATGCCGCTGCCTACATCTTACCGCTCATTGCACAATCGACACTGTCACCAGTCCATGTGATTCTCGCAGGAAATGCCGCACAATGCTGAGGACATCTCTGTGAAAACCGGACCCGTGTGGACGCTGTTCCTGCAAGCTCAAGTCTGAATTGGTGCAGAAACATAGGTAAACGGAGTTTCCACCCACCTACAAAGGCCGAATTGCGCATAGTCCTTGGCGAGCCGGCGCTTCGTTGAAGTAAGCCTGCTGCACAGCAAGATCAGCGATTTCGATGAAAAGCCGTGTGCACCACAACTCAACACGCAACCGACGCAAAACAGAAAGTGCTATCACTCGCACCTCATCATCATCATCTCGGAAATCGGGGCCACCCGCCATGAATGTAACAAGCCGCCTACAACAAGATAGTAGTTTATTCAGTTGGGAGTAACACGTGCAAAAACGAGCACAAACTAAAATGACGTCAACACGACAATGATCCAACATTCGGTTGAAGAGTGCTGAGACTACACATGCATGCGATAACGTTAAAGGACATGGTTCTTTTCGTGGATGTCGGCCAACATGGCTGGCAAAAACGTGCATTTTTGTGTCTGCCCTGCCCCCCCCCCCCCTGCCCGAACTGCGGCATGCCAATTATCGTTTTCTCTTCGGCACGACTAAATAGGATTCGACATGCACCTGTGGCCTTTCTACGTCTCTGAAATCTAGGAAGCATGCAGCAAGGCGGCAGCACAAAGCTGACAGTGCCTTCGCAAGCAGCCATCCGCTTCAAGCTAGATGTGCACCACAAACAGGGTCCCCCACTTTGGGAGGCACACGAGGCAGCTGCAAGCGCTGTGAGGTAACTGGTACTGTCCACTATGATGAGAATTCTTCACACAGGTTGCACGCGAGAGTTGAAATCTACAACGGGCCGGGCAATGTGCCAGGTTTGTGCGAAGGGACTGTGCGCAACAGCAATTCCGCCAGCAACATGCCGTCCATGCCACTGCGGTTATCAATTTCAAGATACCGCAGGAATCCTGAGCCGGGTCGTGCGGCTGTTCGACTTCCTGTGAAACGTTCCGAATTCCCGACATGCCCACGGCTGAGAAGAGACATGATTTTCTGCAAGTGCCTTGGACAACAGATAGCAAAGAAGCCTCCGGGCCCCGGGCGTCGATCTAAAAAACTGCACAAACAAAGGGTGAGGCCATCCCAAACGATCCCAAAGGATGCCAGAGGTTGCAGGCCAACTAGCTACGAGCAAGCATGGCAAAGCATGGAAAAGCCAGCTAAAGTGGCCGGGACTGCGGACGACCTTAGGCGCAGCATGTTGCCCATACTGCACTTTGTCCAGAGCACATGCAATCATTCATCATGCAGCTTTCAGATACAAAGAACACTATGAGGCTGGCGCCCAGGCGCCCAGGGTGGCTTTCAACCCTTTCCACCTCGATAAGTTTGCTAGAATGGGGGACACTTGGAGACTCTGAGCTCTAAACTTTGCATGCCACCTCATCTCTCAACAGGCGCCTCGAATGAAGGCCGTGGACGCCGACCTTTGCAGCAACCTGCATTTTTTCAGCCAAACATGCAACACACTGGCCTAGAGAACAGGGATGTGGAATTCCTGGCTTGCATCTAGGAGCTATCTGAAACCTGAAGCGAGGCCACGGCCCAAATATGCATCGGTAAAACACTCGTCATCGCAACGAAACTTTACTTCCAAGTGTTGCGAATGGGCAAAAGCCCAGCTGATGTGACCAAGCTTACGATTTGATGCTGAGCATGCCAATCCCGACCTTGTTGGAGGGGGCAAGCCTGTGCCCCGCAAGCCGAACACGGCCACTGCCTTTGCTCCAAAGGGTGTCAGCATCTCACGCACCAGGGAATGAACGTCCCAAACGCGCAGATGAAGATCCAGCTACCAGGATGTTGCTCCCCTCCTATCTAAACACTGGCAACGTGCTGCTACGACTCAAGTACAGCGACTGTTGCACAAACTCTGCAACACTCGGGCTTATTCATGCTCCAACGATGGCCACCACCCCTCACCAGCACCGCTTGCTATCACTTTCATGACCCTTCGAGCCAATTACTTTTACAATGTCCAGCCCGGGACCTACTCTATCCCCCATGACCACTGGATGCCACAGCAACTCAGCTCTGCCTCAGCTCGCGCGGCTGGCAGGGCACCAGCGCTCCGACCGCGGCTAATTGGAGGAGCCTCGACAAAATGGCCCAACAACTAGCACAAAGACACCGCGGAAGCTCGGGGACTTTTGGAAGAATTCCCAATCTTCGTTTTGGCTGTGCACTACGA